CCTGCTGCTGCGCTGGCTTTTGGCGTCTCCCTCGGCCCCTCCTCCTGCTGCTCGTTTTCTTTTGCGATTAGCTGCGAGTGGGCGCGGGCAAAGCTCAGAGCAGCCCCCTGAGGGCCAGCGGGTCCGCCGCGTCCGCGGCTGGCATTGAAGCGATGACGACGTGAGCGACAACGACGACGACGGCGACGACGACGACGGCGACGACGACGACGACGAGCGAAAGCGAGAGCGAGAGAGAACGACAGCAGGGCCACGAAGGACGCGAAGTAGGCTGCGAGGGGCGACAGCGAGGGCGCGACGGGAACGCGCATGGGGCCGCGGAGAGCTCGAGCAAGCGGGGGCCACGAAGGGCAGATAATGCGGGGCCACTAAAGGCAGCGATGGGGCCACTGAGGGTAGCCACTGGGCCACGTGGGACAGCGAGGGGGCCGCGGAGGGCGACGGCGGGGCCGCGAAGGGCATGCGCGCGGGGCCGCGGCGGGCGCGACCGAGCGGGGGCCGCGACAGGCACGCGGACGTTGGGTCGCGGGGGGCAAGGGCAGCAGCGGGGCCGCGAAGGGCGGCGTGGGGGCAGCGAAGGGCGACGGCGGGGATGAATATAGGGCCACCGCGGGCGTGGATTAGCGGGGGCCACGAAGGGCGTGCACGTGGGGCCGCGAAAGGCAGCGAGGGGGCGGCGAGGGGCTACGACGGGGCCGCGAAAGGGGAGCGATGGGGCCACGAAGTGCTGCGACGGGGCCGCGAAGGGCTGCAACGGGGCCGCGAAGTGCAGCGAGGGGGCCGCGAAGGGCTGCAATGGGGCCGCGAAACAGAGCGAGGGGGCCACGAAGGGCTGCGACGAGGCCGCGAAGGGCAGCGAGGAGGCCGCGATGGGCTGCAAAGGGGCCGCGAAACAGAGCGAGGGGGGCCACGAACGGCTGCAGCGGGGCCGGGAGACAAAACGAGGGGGCCACGGAGGGTTGCGACGGGGCCACGAAGGGCAGCGAGGTCCATCTGTGAGGGGGTCCCACGCGTGAGCGCGACTCCTGGTGCCTGGGCATCGGGGGCGCGGTGCTGGAGTAAATTGCAGGAAATTCCATCGCAGGGGCGCTGTTCGTCAGTAAATTGCAGGCGGGTCTCCAGCGAGAGCGCGACTCCAGAGCGCCGATAGAGCGAATCCCGAATGCATTGTAAGGAAGTCCCAAGCGAGAGCGCGATTCCTGAATGACATGCGAGGAAGTCTCAGGCGCGGGCGGGGGTCTTAGCTAAATGGAGAGGAAGTCTCCGGCGGGGGCCGTTGTTTTTGTCAGCCGGTGGCCAGGGGCCAAGTTTGGGCATCAAGATTTTCCCAATCAAAAAACATGGTTCGAGCGTCGATGGGGCGCTTTTTGATTGAGAAAAAAACCGTATGCACCGGTGGGGGGATCAACGACAATTATTCTTCAGAAGTGAGAGTTCAACAGCAACAACAACAACAGCAACCACGCCGAGGGCTCTCGCTCGAGATTTCCTCACGATTTACCGATGAATCGCGCTCTCGCTCGAGGCCCCCTCGCGATTTACTCAGGAATTGCGCTCTCGCCCGAGCCTGCCTCGCGATTCACTTGGGACTCGCGCTCTCGCTTGAGCGCTCTCGGTCGAGACCTCCTCGCGATTGATTCAAGAGTCGCGCCCTCGCCCGATGCGTCCTTGCGATTCACGCAGGAATCGCGCTTTCGCGCGAGACGTCTGTTCGATTTACCCAGGAATCGCTCTCTCGCCCGAGACTTCCTTGCGGTTAGCATAGGAATCGCATTCTCGCCAGAGCGCTGTCGCTCCAGACTTCCCCGCGATTTATTCGGTGATCTCGCCCTCGGCTGGGATTTCCTAGCGATTTACTAAGGAATCGCGCCTTCGTTCGAGACTTCCTCGCGATTTACTGAGGACTCGCGCTCTCGCACGAGATTTTATTTTATATGTATAAAGGAATCGCGCTCTCGCCCGAGACTTCGTCGCGATTTACAAGAATCACGCTCTCGTTCGACCGCTCTCGGTCCAGATTTTGCGATTTACTCGGGAATCTCGCCTTCTGGCGATTTATGCAGGAATCGCGCTCTCGCTTGAGACTTCCTCGCGATTTACTTAGGAATCGCGCTTTCGCTCGAGCGCTCTCATTCGACACTTCTTCGCGACTTATGCAAGAATCGCGCTCCCGCCCGAGACTTCTGTGATTTGCTCAAGAATCGTGCCCTCACTCGAAATTTCTTCACGGTTCACTTAAGGTTCTCGATCTCGCTCGAGCGTTTTCGCTCCAGACATCGTCGCGATTTCTTCAAGAGTTGCGCTGTCGTTTGGGACTTCCTCTCGATTTGCTCAGGAATCGCGCTCTCTTTCGACAGTTCCTTTCGATGTACGCAGGAATCGTGCACTCGCTCGACATTTCCTTACGGTTTACCTGGGAACCTGGGAATCGCGCTCTCGTTCGGGATTCCGTTGCGATCTACATAGGGATCGTGTTTTGCTCGAGCGCTTTCGCTCGAGACTCTTTCGCGATTGACAGAAGAATCGCGCTCTCGCGCGAGACTTCGTCGCGACGTACCGCGGAACTGCGCTCTCGTTTTACATTTCCTGGTATTCAGGAGTCGCGCTTTCGCCCTGGACTTTTTTTCCTGGGGTTGGTGATGATGATGGCGAGGACCAGGATGATGAGCAGGAGGGGGACGATGAGGAGGAGGGGGAACAGGATGGCCGCTACGTGTGTCCCCTTGAATACCTAAGTTTGGGAGAACCGAAATGAAGATGACGGTCCTGACGATGATGGGATGCATATGATGGTGATGTTGATGATGATAACGATGGCGATGGTGATGGGGATGATCTGATGCTGGTGATGCTGATGATGATGAAGAAGAGGAGGGTTCTGCTGATGATGCTGATGACGCTGATGCTGATGATTGGTATGATGATGAGGATGACGATGGTGGTGATGAGGATGGTGGTGATGATGAAGTTGGTGATTGTTGTGGCCGTGCTGATATCGACCATGAGGAGGATCAGGGACGTGGAGGAGGAAGAGGACCAACATACAAGCAATAATCATCAGCGATGTTGGAATTAACCGTCCCTCCAAGTTCCCTCTTCATAGGATCCCACCACGGTTCAGTTCCATTGAAAGAACTGCCGCTTTAGAAGACAACCGTTGGAATATCCTAAAGTATGCCACAACATGGTTCTCGGGATTTTAACGCCACATTTCAACCTGACTGCTGCGTCTTGACGATTCGGGGTCGTGCCAGAACGCCAGTTTTGGGGCTTCGACGCCGCGAGTCAACATAACCGTTGCGCCCGCATAATCCGGACTCCTTTCAAAACACCAATCGGGTACGTTGATCATGGGAGTCCGTGAACTTCTTGCACATTGTTAAAACGAGTGTACGCGGCACTCAGGCGACAGCCGCATTTTGAAAAGAAATCGCCCTCAACCCGTGAAGCTCTTTCAAATTTATAGAAAACGAATGTTCACGGCGCTAAGGCGAGAACCACTTTTCGAAAACCACCCGTCCTCAATCCGTGAAGCTCTTGCAATTTTTACAATGAATGTGCGCGGCGCTAAGGCGAGGGCCACATTTTGAAAACCACCCGCCCCCAGTCAGTGAAGCTCTTGCAAATGTTTGGAGCGAATGTGCGCGGCGCTATGGCGAGAGCCACATCTTGAAAACCACCCGCTCTTCATTTGTGGAATGGGTGTCATTCTGTAAGCTTCGGAGTCATAAGTGGCGAGGAAGTCCCACGCGAAACGCCCGGCCCGCCCTAAAAATTGGCCTCGGGGTGCGACAGGGAGGAGTTCAGAGGAGGAGGAGGACGAGGAAGGCCGCCACATGGAACACATCGTATCCTCAGGTTTGGGAGCGCCGTGATCAGGATATGAATGATTATGAGGGTGTTGGGGGTGACGATGGGGATGCTGCTGGCGATGATGACGACGATGATGACGATGATGACGATGTTGATGATGGTGATGATGATGATTGTGGTGATGATGGTGGTGGTGGTGGTGATGTTGACAATGATGATGGTGATGGCGATGATGATATTGTATTGGTGAGTACGGTGATGATGATGGTGATGCTGCTGGCGCTGGTGATGATAGTGGTGGCGACGGTGGTGGTAGTGATGATGACGGCTTGCAAGCGGAGGAGGAGCAGGAGGAGGAAGAGGAGGAGGAGGAGGAGGAGGAGGAGAGGGAGGGGGCAGTCTCACGGGGCATCTTTCGTCTTCACTCTGTGCAGAGCTCTCATGGAGCTCGTGTCGGCCGTCTTGGGGCTGTCTTGGCCATTGCATCGTGATGCGCCGTCATTCTTGGTTCAGTGGCTGGCATCAAGCCAGGAATCCGTTTATCTGTTCTCAACGTTTACAACCGTCATGGTGCTTATGTACATGGACGAAGTGGCCAACGTCACGGTGATCACCCCCGAGTTGGCCTCCAGGAGTCCTTTTCTAAGGAGTCATTGGTAAGGAATCTTCACTGAGGAATCCTTATCAAGGAACCTTTTTATCCAGTTGCCGTCACTGAAGAATGCTTATAAAAGGAACCCTTCGTGAGGAATCTGTATTGAGGAATCTTTATTGAGGGACCTTTGTGAAGGAACATGTACGAAGGAATCCTTATTCAGGAATCCTCATTAAGGAATCCTTGGTAGGGAATCTTTAGGAAGGAATCCTTATCAAGGAACCCTCGCGAAGGAACCCACACTAGGAATCACCGGTTACAAGCTCATTTGGGCCCCCTGCGTTTTTACGGAACAACTGCATGGAGCGCGGCAACGTCAACGGCAACGTCGGCAACGTCGGCGGCAACCGCTAAGCGAAGACGATGAGTGAGACAGCGGTATATGTTTTCTGCATCGGCTCGGGGTGGTGCGGCATGGCGTTCGCGCGGGGGGCCCTTCTTCCCCGACATAGCTCAAGCTCCGCTGGAAAAGTACCCAGTGCTTTGAACGTATAAATCGCTACTATATGGCAAGCGCAACGCTCTAGACATATCACCACGCCTGGAACGCAGCTGCCAGCGCCGCGAAACTCACCTTCTGCCCACTGGCCTTGATGTGGGTGCGGGACCTGTGCTCGGCAAGGAGCCTCGACCATTTCTTCCTGTCGGCCTTCTTGGGCAACGTCCCGCCGTAGCGCTTCCTGATCCACCGCTTGACCAATGACAATTGGAGCTCTACGTGGTTGGTAGTGAACCCTCTTTCGTTCGTGATCTCGCCAGCGCTGTGGTTCACTAGCTCGTGCGGGAGCATCCGCTCGGTGAGGCCAGCGTCATTGCGGTACTGCTTCACAGGCGCGATGTTCCCCCTCCACTTGTCCGAGACGATGGCGACGCCAGCGGGAGGCGACAGCTCCTTGAAGTTCTCCAACAGCTCCTGCTGGCCCCTGGGCTTGCCGTCGTAAGCATCCTCGACAGACTTCAATACTTTGAAGCAGAACAGGTGCGGCGAACCCTGCACGACGGCGCCCCAAAGCCATAGCTTGTCTTTTTTCGGCCTTGCGTTCTTCGCCAGCTTGGACAGCTTGCCCTTGTTCAGGAAGGACTCGTCCACCTGCAGGATGACCTTCCTGGTTCGGGCAGCAGGGAGCCTGGACCGCGCGGGGCGCTTCATGACAGGCCGCTTCTTGACGCCCGCCTGGGCTGGACGACTCTTCGCCGAGCGCTTGGCCCGACGCTTCGGCGCAGCTTTCGCAGCAGCGGGGCGCTTGCGCGGGCCGCCGCCGAGCAGGTCTGCGAAAATTCTCCCAGAGTCCATCTTCCTGGCCATGTGCTCCTCGACGCCCTCTTCAAACGTCTGAATCCAGCGCTCCACAGTTGCGTGGGCGTCAACGCCGACCCGGTCCTTGAGCGTGCCAAGGCTGTAGTCGAAACACCACATCACGAAGGCGTCGGGCTTGTTCATCCATAGGCTCGTGGGCGTACCCGCCAAAATGGTGCCCTTCACCGCCGACACCTCGTCGCCGTTGCAAGTGTCGCATCCGCAATCGTAGCGAGGCCCGCGCGAGTTAAAGCGCACGGCATCGCCGCGGCGATGCTTCACGCTCAGCGTGCTCCTCCTAGGGGCGTCTTTCTGTCGCTTTTCGAAGTGCCCCCCCCTCTGAAAGTCCTTCGTCTTCTGCAGCTGCTCCCAGAAGTCTTGCCTGTGGTCGCGCACCAAGTCCACCTGGGGCGGCGCAAGCTGCACGCATGAAGCACAACGCGCACCTGGCACACCGCGCGCGCATGGCGCACGCACACTGCGCACAAGGCACGCACGTTGCGCACCGTGCGCGCCGTCAGGTTTGTCTATCCGCCCACCCTGTGTTCCAGCCGCGCGATCTTCCTCGTGTAAGGCTCGACCACCGCCTCGAGGGCGGCGGCCTTCTTCTCCGCGCGTTTGCGGGCGTTGTAGGCGGCGTTGCGCGCCTTCTTCTTCGCGTGGGCGGCCGTTCCTGGCTTGGGGTTCCCCATGCCAGGGGGGTGGCGGGGCGGGGCGAAGGGCGCGGTGTCGGCGCGAGCGCGCCACGAGCTGCTTGAGCCTCGATCGAGGTGCGGCGTGCCTGCTCGCGCTTCCTCCCTCCCTCCCCCCCTCCTCCTCCTCCTCCTCTTCCTCCTCGTTTTTCTTCCCCCTCCTCCCCCTCCTCCTCTCCCTCCTCCTCCTGCTGCTGCTCCTCCTCCTCTTCCTCCTTCTCCTCCTCCTCCTCCTGTTCCTCCTCCTCCTGGTCCTCCTCCTCCTCGTCCTCCTCCTCCTCTTCCTCCTCCTCTCCTCCTCCCCCGCCTTCTCCTCCTCCTCCTCCTCTTCCTCCTCCTTTTTCCTTCTGCTCCTCCGCTTCCCAATCGGATTCCAGTATCGGGAGCGGAATCCAGCAGAGCCTTGGGGAAAAAAATCAAAACAAGCACAAAAAACACAATCCTGAGGAGACCTTCCCCCCCCCCCCCCACACACACACACACCCAGCCCCCGAATCTCTGTTTAGTTTTTTTTTTTTCCTCTCTCTCTCTCTCTCTCTCTCTGGGTTCTGCTGGATTCCGCCCCCGCTAATGGAATCCGATTGGGAAGAGGAGGAGGAGGAGGAGGAGGAGGAAGAGGAGGAGGAGGAGCAGGCGGAGGAGGACGAGGAGGAGGAGGAGGAGGAGGAGGAGGAGGAAAAGAGGAAATAAAAATATGCATACGAGAATGGGGGTGGACCTGGGGGTGGAACGCGGTACGCGGATTTTTCCTAAAAACGCAGGGGGCCCAAATGAGCCTGTAGCCGAATCACCATAGGGGGGGTCTGTATTGGGGATGTTTTAGTGATGAATACTTAGTTAGGCATATGTATTGACGATTTTTTGCGGAGGAGTATTTAGTAAGGAACCTTTACGAAATTAATATGTATGAAGGAATGTGGGAGGAGCCCTAAGCAATAATAGAGAAAACGCTGAATCCTTTAACACATTTTTTTGTGTTGTTGTTGTTGTTGTTGTTTTGTATATGTGTACTAAGGAATTCATATTAAGGAACCTTTCTCCGAACGAAGATTGTGAATGATATTCTTCACATGGAATCCTTCGTAAGGAATCTTCAATATGAGAATCAGTAATCGGAACTCCATAGTGAGGATTTTAGCAACTGCGTTTCTAGTACATAAGTTATTATAAGGAATGCCAGCGACCTGTGTAAAAATGCTTTGTAGTTAAACAAGTGTAGTGAGGAATCTGCAATAATGAATATTTTCCCAGCAGTTTTGAAGTCAATAATCTCGTTTCGGTAAGTTTTATGGATGAACCTATCGTAAAGAATCTTCAGTCAGGAAACTTGCTTCGGGAGTTTATATGGAAGAATCGGAAGGAACATGTGTGAAACAATCTTTACTTGCGAAATTGATTGGTGAGTCTACAGAACACAATCTTTACTAGGGAGTCTTTGCGGAGGCTTTACTACGGAAATCTGAGTCAGGAGATTTTGGTACGGAGCGTTAAATCTTTGTTTTGGAAATTTTCATCGAAGAAGCTTCAGTTATGAATATTTCGGGAGGAGCTTCTGTTAAGGAGTTGTAGGTCCGGACAGACTTGTTTTCATAATCTTTGTTAATGCGTCCTCAGTAAGGAATCCGTATTCAGGAAGCATGGTTGAAGGACCTCTATGAAGGAATGCTTTCGGATGGGTCCTTAGTCCGGAGTCCTCATTAAACATCCTTCTTCAGGAATCTTTACCAAGGAAAGGAATCTTTATGAAGGAATCCTTACCAAGGAATCCTTGATATCGAGCCGCTATTACAACAATTGTTTTGATACCGGAAAAAATTCCAATCCGAATTTTCTATAGGAGTTACAGGGCTATCGGGCTATAGGGCTACTGGGCTGTAGGGCTATAGGGCGACAGGGCTATAGTGCTATACGGCTATAGGGCTATAGGGCGATAGAGCACCCGGGCACCCGGGCACCCCTGGGCACCTCCGGGCACCTCCGGGCACCTCCGGGCACCCCCGGGCGCCGAAGTCGGCGACGAACCTCGCATAATCATATGAGTCCGCTAGGACCCTTTCAGAGGCAAGCTCTGGTGGGGGAATTACGACATCCTCAGTAAGGAGTCCTCAATATGGAGCCCTTCGTAAGGAATCCTTACTCAGGAGTCCATACTAGGAAATCTTTGCCGAGGAATTATTTTTGAGGAATCCTTCTTCAGGCGTTCTTACTGAGGAAACCTGTTGAAGGAATCCTTGTCAATAAGCTCGTATGAGGAATTCTTTATTAAGGACTCCAGCAGAAGGAATCCTCAGCAAGGAATCCTTACCAAAGGAAACTCGCTTCCCTGGCGCGCACATGCAAGTGAGGAGAGCGAGTCTTCCTGTTGTTTAGGGATAGCTCGAGTTTTTCATTTGCACTGGACCGTTGTTGTTGTTGCTGTTGGGGTGGGGGTCGCCCCGGGGAAGGGCGTCAGGGAAAGCTCCTATCCCCCCAAGCCGGGAGCTCTGGCGGGCGTCCAGGAACGTCTCGATCTTTGTTGTTGTTGTTGTTGATGAGTTTTCAGCACCGAAGAAAATAATACTAATAAGTATGGTTGATCCCCCCTTTGGGGCATGTTTTGTTTCAATTGAAGTGCCCATCCCGGAGCTCGCATCCAGTTTTTTCCGAAGGGAAAGTCATATGTCTCAGAATTGGGTTGTTGGCATCTTGATTACAACATCGACGGCTCCCGCCAGATATTTCCTCACGGTCTTCTTCACACGCACAATCTCCCGCGTGGGACATCCTCGCAATTTCTGCAGGCGTTGCGCCTCTGAACCTAAGGAATCACGCTGTCGCCCCGGCCTGTCTCACGATTCACTTGGGAGTCGCGCTATCGCTGTTCCTCACGATTCATGCTCACGCTTCGGCAACCCGCTTGCTCGACCTGGCCGCCTGGGCCCGCCTTCCCGACCCGCCCGTTAGGGTATACCCGCCCGATCTGCCTGTCTGGTTCTGCCACGTGTTTTCTGCTCCTAGCCCCTTTCTGCTAATCTCTCTCTTGTGCTCCATCCTCCTCAGTCGCTCTTCCATCCGTCCTCTCCTAGCCTGTTTTAGGGGTTGCGCCAACTTCACGCGGCACGTCAGGAAGATATACCCCCAAGTGGGGTGAGATCGAAGACGAATAGGGCGGGCACAGAAGGTCTAGGATATACGTGCTGAGAGGTATGCGAGCAGGCATGAGCGAGCAGTCTTAAAAGTCATTGTTGTTGCTGCTTCTGTTGTTGTCGCAGTTTTTGTTGTTGTTGCTGTTGTTGCTGTTGTTGTGATTGTAGCTGTTGTTGTTGATGGTGATGTTGTCTTTGTTATTGCTGCTGCTATTTGTTGTGGTTGCTGCTGCTGCTGTTTGCCGAGGCCCGACTTAAACGTATCCACCGCCTGGGGAATCGATGCCCAGTGTCTCCAGGAGGAGGTGCATGTGGACAGCTCTGGGCCACCCAGGAGGGCCCGAGGATAGCGGCATCCGTTGCTTCTGGGGTTCTGGGAGGTCGACTCCTCAGGCGCAGGGCGTGTATTCCGCGGGCGACTTGTGTGCACCGTCCCGCGTTGGCGTCTCCCGAGGCGTCGTCGATCCTCGACCCAGGAATGGTACGGTGCACGATCTGCCAGTCCTCAGGACCGAAGAACCATGCACCGTACCGCGCTGGAGCGAGGCTTGAAGGAAGTCCAGACATGATACGGTACGTAGGCGCCGTTCTCGTAATGTATGGTGTGTGGATTTCAGCGTCGTCGGCCTGACGGGGCGGGCCCAGAGGTTTTCGGCCGTCTTGGCTCTCACCGGGCCCCTGCATGAAAGGCTGGTCTTGGGTAGTGAGAGCGAGAATGTCCGATCGCTACGTGATTAGAAAGCCTTGCTCCAGAGAGGGGGAATATTTCGGACGGATCCCTGTCGGATCTCCTTCTCGGCTCTGCTCAGGACGTTGGGCCATGAGCCGCGGTATATCATCCTTGTAGGTTCAGCCCCCGTCGGTGTGGCCTTCGGTGCACATTGGAGAGACAATTTTCGGGATCGCTTACAGTCCAAATCGGTGATGAGGATGGGTACCCGTGCCCTTGCATCCGTGCCTCTTCGGTGTATCCTTAGCCAGATTCGATTGCCAGCCCCGCTCGAAACGCCTCGACATGGGCGTCCAAGGGACTTGCCCTTGGAACGCATCCTTTCTATCAACTTGAACTCTACCCAGGATCTGTTCCTTGCATGAAAATCGCATGCCTTGCTTACCCGGTGTCTCCTCGTCCTCGGCCTCGGCATCCCTCCCCTTCTTCTCCTCGCTTCCCTCGTCCTCAGAACGTTCCTCTCCTTCGTCGTTCGCCACGCAGCGCTGTGACGCGGCGCCGCTTCGAGGGACGGCTCCGAGGTGGCCCCCCTTGAGTCGAAGAACAATCCGCGCAGTTTTCTTGGATCGGCGCTGGGCCTCCTGGCGGCGCCTCCAGAGCCGCCCCTGGCCAGCGCCATTGAGAGGGGTCCAGCGTCGATCCAAGAAATGCCCGCGAGCCTCAGCGAATTTATGGTAATGCTGTTTTTTGTTCCTCGGGTCATGGGGGCTTTTGTTGCCCCCTGTAGTGTCCTCACGCCAACCCACCCTTCTGCAACCGTGTCCTATGTCATATCCCTGGATTCGGGCGCCGTTTTGGCTGTCTCTGCTGTCAGCTGGGGCCTCTTTCCAGGACCCTCTCTCATGTTTTGTACACTGCATGCTGGGACCGACCTTGGACGGCGGGCTCTTCGCCGTCCCGTGGTTTTGACACGCCGTCTTTCTCCACCTCCCCGCCCCCTCCTCCGCCTCCTCCTCCGCCCTCTCCCCGCCTCCTCCCCCGCCCCCAGCTCCGCCCCCTCCTCCGCCCCACCCCTCTCCCCGCCCCCTCCTCGGTCCTCTCCTCCGCCCCGTCCTTTCCGCCCTCCCTGCTCCCACCTCTCCGCCCCCTCCTCGGCCCGGTCCTCCGCCCCCTCCTCCCTTCTCGCCCCCCTTCTCCCCTGCGGGACGCAGAGTCGTGCCCGGCTGCTGCTGCGGGTGCGCTCCCGCTACGGCCCCCGCATTTGCTCCGGTTGATCGCGGCCCCGTCCGGCACCCTGCGGGCGCCACGGCCGTTTTGGCGGCCCCGGCGGCGCTCGGCTGCCGTCTTGAATTTGCGCTGCGCGGCGATGCCTGGCGCCTGTGCTGTACACCAGCTGTTCAAGAGAAGCGATCATTTGAGATCCACCCACGACATGGAGGATCGTTTTCATGACCGCGCTCATTTTGTGTCGTGTTCCCTTCTTTGGTCCACCGGGCGTCGCGCCAACTTGCTACCTTGGTGACCGCTTAGCTACCCCGACTGTCCTTGGTCGAGTGCAGCAGCCGGCCATGTCCCAGGATGCCACGACAATATCGCTGTCACGTGACGCCCCTCGTTGCCGATGGATTCGCTCGTCCCGTGAATGTGACCTGCCAATCTATGCTGGCTTTCGCGCTAAAGGTTCCCGTCTGACCTTTGCACGGCTCATATCCCCAATCTGTATGTGCGATGTGAGAAATAGGCGCATGAGGAAGAGGAGGAGGAGGAGGAGGAGGAGGAGGAGGAGGAGGAGGAGGGCGGCCAGAAAGGTCAGATGCTTCTTGGATGCTTCTCGGAGTCTTTTCGGGTGTCTTTTTAGAGATTATGAGAGCCTTCTCGGGGCGTCTTGGGGGCCTTCCTGGCGGTCTGGTGGTGGCAGCCTCTTGGGGCCTCTGGGGGTTCTGGTGGTGGCAGCCTCTTGGGGCCTCTGGGGGGTCTCTTGGAAACCTCTTGGGGACCTCTCGGGAGCCTCTTGGGGTCTCCTGGGCGCTTTTTGGGCCCTCTTGCGGCACTCTTGGGAGCCTTAGCGGCCATCTTGGACGATATCGATCAAAGAAGGGGGATCTCCCAATTAATGCCCCCCACAGGTAGCCAAAATTGGTCCACACCCACGGAACATCAATGATATTGCCTTCTCGCCGAGGCCTTATCGGGCGCTCTAACGACCAGCGCCTCCCTTTTTTAGTTCCAGGGGGTAGGGGGTAGGGGGAGTGGTCAAGACACCCTCCTATATTGTAAGTCGTCTAGCTCACTCCCACCCGCCCTCCCAGCACATAAGTAACACATGGTCTGCGGTCGTCTTTGGATGGACAGCTACGGGGAATTATAACCGAGTCCATGTGTGCGACGCTGGGGCCAGGTGCGCCACGCGTGCCAGGCGCTCCAGGTGCGCTAGGCGCACCTGGGGCCCAAGCGTGCCAGGCACGCACGCCTCGCTCGCCAGATGCGCTACGTGCCTCCGCGTGCGCCAGGTGTGGCGCATATTCCAGCCGCGCCAGGTGCACCACGTTCGGGGCACGTGCAGAGTGTGTCAAGGGCGCCTGCGCACGTGACAGCGCACATCGGGGAACATGTGTGCCCTCGCCATCCTTGTCATCCTTTTCGAAAGCCGATGCTCATCATTTCATCATTGTATCTGGTAGGCCTGCGCACAAGCAGGCCATACGCCACCACCCCCGCCGTCCCCACCCGGGGAGTTCCCTCCCTCGCACTGCGCCCAGTCGCCGCCAGCCCCTGGTGCAGCTGCCGCCGCGGGCCCGCCGCGCCTCGCGCTCGGGGCGTGACCCGTCCCCCTGAGCGGCTCGCTCCCTCTGAACCCTGTTTCGGCTGCTTTTTTCCATTTCCCCCTCTTGCATGGTGGCACAATGACACCCCCGAATAGGTTTTTTCCCGCTAGCGCAGACCCCTGCGTCGCCGCCGACGCAACAAGTGAAAAACCGCTTGGCAGTGATCGCGGCGTGGCCGCGCATGATCCAGATGTAGCCGCGAGGTGCGCTTTGTATTGCTTTTTTGGCAGGGATGGTCGCCCTGCGTACAGCAGGCAATCTGCTGACACCCCTGCCGTCCTTGTCAAAACATCAATACAACATGCTCGCGGGCTTCACGAACATGACTCCAACATTTTTCCATACATGTAGTTTGTATGGTTTTTGGCAGGGATGGTGTGTGGGAGGTCGCATCGGGTTGGTTGCGCATGCTCCGAATTGGAAGGCAGAAAGTGTTTCGTATTGTTGTTTTGGGAAGGATGGTTGTGGGGTGTGTGGTCATGGGGTCCTCGTTGTTTCTGGTTTGCTGCTGGTCGGTTGGGGGAGGGGGTGTATATTCATAGGGAACAGTGATCGAGGCCCCCCTTCGCCCGCAAGCCGTCTCATTCAATTCCACCCGCCCTCCCAAAACATAAAACTCAACACCCGAGGGAATTTCAGGATATTAATTACGAACGCCACGCATGCCATGTGCGCCACGGGTTCCAGACACCCTGGAGGCCCAAGCAAGCCCGGCGCGCCAAGTGCGGCACGTGCTCCACGTGCGCCATGTATGCTGGCATCCCCGCCGTCCTTGTCAACAACCAATGCAACAGTGGTCGCGGGGCGCCCGCGCATGCTCCAGATGTGGAGGCAAACTGCATTCAGTATGAGATTTTGTAAAAAAGGCTGGTTGGGTTGCGCGCAGCAGCCATTATGACGGAACCCCCGCCGCCCCTGTCAAAAACAGATGCAAGTGGTCGCGGGGCGCCCGCGTACGCTTCAGATGTGGAGATGCATTGTGTGTGTGTGTGTGTTTTGTATATTTATCTTTGGTTTTGAAAAAGATGGTTGGCCTGCGCGCAGCGAGCAATATGATGGCACCCCCGCCGCCCCTGCCAAAACAAGTGCAACGTGATCGCGGGGCGCCCGCGCATGCTCGAGATGTACAGGCAAAGTTTTTTTTTGTTTTGAAAGGGATGGTTGATCTGCGCGCAGCGAGCAATATGATGCCCCCCCCCGCCGTCCTTGCCAAAAACCAATGCAAGGTGGTCGCGGGGCGCCCGCGCATGCCCCAGAACGGGAAGCACATTGCAGTCGATATTTTGTTTGACAGGGATAATGGAGCGGGAGGGGGTGGCATGTTTCGGGTCGGCCCACAGTCGGGTGGGGGAAAGGGTGTGTACTAAGATGGAACAGTCATCAAGTCACCCTCCTCGCCCGCAGGGCGTTTCACTCATTCACACACGCCCTCCCAACATAAGTAGGGCCCGAGCCTCACCATGTTCCGTGGTCGTTTTTGGATGACAGTTTTTGGGGACCAGTACAGACCCATGTGCGCGACGCTGGGGTTCCAGGCGCACCTGGGGCCCAAGCGTGCCAGGCACGCCTCGCGCGCCAGATGCGCCACTTGCTCCACGTGCGCCATGTGTGCCGCATGGTCCAGCCACGCCAGGTGCGCCACGTTCGGGGCACGGGCAGATTGTGCCAGGTGCGCCCGCGCACGTGACAGCACACATCGGGGAACATGTCGCCTCTCCCACCATATCGGTCGAACACCAAGGCACAATCGCTGCGTAGAGGCCATCATGGTGTGTGGTAGACCTGCGCACAACAAGCAGTCTGCCAGCACCCCCGTGGCCCTTGCCAAGCACCAGTGGGCAGTGATTGCGGGGTGGCCGCGCATGGCCCAGGTATAGCCGTGAGCTGTTGCATTGTATTGTGGCACGGATGATGGCTTTACGCAAAGAAGGCAATGTAAGGGCACCGCCGCCGTCCTGGTCAAACACAACGCAAGGTGTCAGACGGGCCCACGAGCATGACCCAATAAGTTTGCTCACAGTGTGCTTCGTATTGTTTTTGATGGGGCCGTGTGTGGGGGGTTATGATTGGTCCTTGTTGGCTGCCACTTGCATTGGGGAAGGGGTGTTTATGAACAGGGAGCGGTGGCACACGAACCATTCCCCGAAGGGGAAAAAAGGGGGTTGGAAGAGGAAACGCCGTAAACAACTCACGCCATAAATCGCTGGTGGGCTTCTCCAGCCGTCCTTCCACGTTCTTCTCCGTCGCCTTCGTCCTTAGCGTCCCACGCGCCCTCGAAGTGCTCGTCGTCGTCGCCGCCCCGCGCCCGCGCGACCGACCCCCTCGAGGACGAGTGCGCCGCTGTCCGAGCTCTACGACAAGTTTCGGGCCCGCCGCCGCCGCCTGTCGCGGCCGCCGACTTCGCCGACAACGCCATCGCGGTGGTCGTTGTCGTCGTCGCCATCGCCTTCGTCGCGTCCACCGCCGCCGTCGCCGCCGTCAGTGTCATCGTCGTCGTCGTCATCGTCGTCGTGGTCGTGGCCGTTGTCGTGGCCGTGGTCGTGGTCGTGGTCGTTGTCGGGGCTCCTTCTTCTGATTCTGTTCCTGCTGCTGCTGCTGCTGCTCCTCTTTTCTATTTCCCTCTTTTGCCTCCTTCCTCCATCTGTTCATTCCTCCTCCTCCACCTCCTGCTCCTCTTTCACCTCCTCTTTTTTCATCTCCTTCTTTTTTTTCCCTCTTACCCCCGCAACCCTCTTACCCCTTCTACCCCCCCTCCGTTTCTTCTTCCTCCTCCGTCTCCACCTGCACCTGCACCTGCTGCTCCTCCTCCTGCTCGTCCATTCTCTTCCTGCTATCCCCCCTCCTCTGGTTCCTCCCCCCCTCCCTGTCCTCCTCCTTGTCCTCCTTCTCTTCGTTCTGTGTGTGTTAGTGCTTTACGTGAGCCCTGGAAACTGAAACCTGGTCGATGACCAGGCGCGACGACCATCAAATGTATCATGGGCCAAACAGTACGAGGTTCAGAACGCAGGCCCCTCGTGTTCTATACCAATCAAGGCGAAGGCCTCTTCATCATGTGCGCAAGCGCTGTGATAGTACATCAGGCGTCGTGAGCACCTGGAGGTCTGGGGCGGTTGCGCACGCTGTGGCGGGGCATCAACCTGGAGCCCCGCCATGGCAGCGCATGCATAATCTGGCAGTAGCAACGGCTTTTTTTTACATACCTTTTCCAGACGGAAGAGTCAGCAACATATGGATCTTCCGTCAGCTACAGTGTTTTTGTTGACGCGTTTTCGAAACCAAAAACAGGGCCAGTCATCGATCCCAATCTGGATTCGGTTGCGCGGGCTCGAATGGCGATTGGGAGCGCAGAGCGACGCCACAAAACACTACTCCAACACCCCCCGAAATGGCGCAATGCATCATATCTTGGGGCGGCGGCGGCGGGGAGACGGCTCCAGTAATCTCGGTGAGCCCGGCGCGTCCAGGATCATCATGTTCGAACGCGTTGAACCATTAATGCGCCGCACGTTTACATTCAACAGTGGGTCCCTACCAGTATGATGTAGCATGCCCCAGTGGTGTGCGATCGGTGCCTGACGGTGCCCCCGGGCTTCTCATATAATCCTTCGCCTGCCTCCATAACCCGTTTTGGTGCCTACAGGACGCTAGATGGTTCAACGCGTTTCCAAGTGTTTTCTGGGGGTCCCACCTTCATTCGGCGTTCTCGCCCAGTCGTTCCAGTGGCCCTCCGCAGATTCCGCGCGGGCCCTCAGGACTCATGTGGGCTTGCAATGTCTCGCTGTTTCCCAAGGGGCCCCCATGAATTATCAGTTTGCCCCCCCGGGGTCCCATTGGAACGGGGGATCTTCTCGTTTGCCCCCCCCGGGGTCCCATTGGAGCGGAGGAGCCCAAACCCTTGGGTTGCCAAAACCGAGCCCTGGGCGCGTGCGTGCGCGCGCGCATGAGCAGCGGGGGACATGCATTGCGCCGCAGTGTAGTATTCCACGTTGCAGCCTCCAGAGTACAAGTGCAACGAATGGTTTTTTACCATGCAGAGCTCGAAATTCAAATGGCTATTCGGGAAAAGCGTTTGCCTCGTGCACGCGCGGGCGCCCGCGCGCGCGCGAGCGACGAGGGGGGCCCATTGCGCGGCAAAGTATTCTCGCGGTTGAGGCTTCTAGAATGCAAGAACAACAACGTGTTGTCACCATTCAGTTTTCGAATGATGGCTACCCGGCATGATTTCGGCTCTCTGCTGCGCGGGCGCCCGCGCTCGAGCGCGCGCGCGCGAGGGCAGCAGGGGGCGCGCGTTGCGCCGTTGTGCAATATTCCGCGTTGAGTCCTCCAGCACGCATGCGGAACAGTTGGTTGTCGCGCTTCGGTTTTCGAGCTTAAGGTGCCCATTCTGCAGGAAGGCGTTTGCATTGCGCGCGCGCGAGCCGCGAGGGGAGTTCGTTGCCCCGCAGTGCATCGTTCCACTCTGGGGCCTCGAGAATACGAGTGGAAGATTTGGTTGTTGCCGTTCATCCTTCGAAAGTTTAATTTCTTTTCGGCGGAAGTTTTCGCGTCGCGCACGCGCGGGCGCCCGCGCGCGAGCGACGAGGGAAGTGCATTGTGCCGCAATGCGCTATTCCATGTTGCGGCCCCAGGAAACAGTGAATCAGTTGGTTGGCGCCTGTCGGTTTTCGAAATTTAGACGGCGAGTTCGCATCGGCTTCTGCGTTGCGCGCGCGCGAGCAATGAGGACAGCATTTTTTGTTTTTCTTCTCGCGCCGCTTCGTTCCCCGTTGCCGCCCCTGCAGAGCGCGAGTCAGACAGTTGGTTAATATATCGAGCTTAGGATGGCCATTGACACTTGGGCGCTCGCCCTTGCACTGCGCGCGCGTGAGCGCGCGAGCGATGGGGAACGTGCGTTGCGTCGCGCTGCAGTCTGCTGCGCTGGGGCCGTGCGAAGACGGGTGAACAAGTGATTCCCGCAAGTCAGTTTTCGAATTCAGGACGGCTAGGCGGCGTCTTTTTTCTCTCGTTGCGCGCGCAGAAATGGCAATGCGGAAATGGCATCTGCGTCGCGCTGAAGCATTTCACGTTGGCGCCTTCAGGACGCGGGAGAAAGAATTTGCTGCCGCCCGCTGGTTTTCGAACCCGATGCTTCCATTACGCGTTTGGTTTTGCGCGGCGCGCGCGAGCGCGCGCGCGGGCGCTGGTGGTGGGGTGTGGGGTGGTGGGGGGGTGGGTGGGGTGGGGGTGGGGGGTGGGTGGGTGGGGTGGGGGGGGGGGGGGGGGGGGGGGGGGGGCGCGTGGCGTCGCGCTGCAAGATTCCGCGTTGCGGCCCTCAGAATACGAGTGACGCAGTTGGTTTTCGCCGTTCAGCTTCCGAGATGGAGGCGGTCATCCGACGGCAGTTTTTGCAGTGCGCGCGCGAGGCGCGCGCTGTGAGGGGCGCGCGCGGTGTCGCGGGGCATCATTCTAGCCGTCCTTTCCCGCTGCGCGTGAAACATTCTGCTATCTCCATTTAGATTTCGACTTTAAGTTTGGGGTGCGCGTGCGAGGTCGCGCGACCAGGCGGGAAGCGCATCGCGTCGCAATGCGTCATTCACCGTTCAGTTTTCGCCACTCAGATGGCCATTCGTCACCTGCTCTTGCGTTGCGCGCGCGGGGGCGGGCTCGCGCGCGCGAGCGCGCGCGGGTGCTGAGGGGGGGAGTTGCGTCGCATGCGCAATGTTCCACGTTGGGGCCGTCGGAAAACGAGTGCCGCATTTTGTTTTCGCCGTGCAGTTATCCACGTTGAGACGGTCATTCGGCGTGGGTTTGGGAATTTCGCGCGCGAGCGGTGCGCGCGCGAGCAATGGGGGGCGCGCGTTGCGTCGCGACGGAGCACCCCGCGCTGGGGCCCCCGGATGGCAAGTGGCACGAACAGTTTTCACCGTTCAGTTTTCGAAGTGTAGATGGCCACTCGGTTTCGGCCCCCGCGTTGCGCGCGCGAGCGCAGCGGGGCGCGCGCGCTGTTTCGCAGTGCTGTATCCCGCGCCGAGGCTCGAGGCAATTTGTTTTCATTATGCTGTTTTCGAAATGGAGGTGGCTGTGTGGCGTCGGTCTTTGCGTCGCGCGCGCAGGGGCGCGCGCGCCTGCAATGGGGGGGGGGGGGGGGGGGCGCGCGCTGCGTCGCAATGCTGCAATCCGTGCTGCACTCCGTGCTGCACTCCGTGCTGCACAATCGAGTCTTCGAAAGTAAGGCGGCCGATCGGGGCCGACCCTCGTCTCCATGGCGCGGCGGAGCGCGCGCGCGCGCGGTCGAGCGGGCGCTCGGGCTCGCGCGAGCAGCGAAACGCGTTGCGCCAGAACGCGTTATTCAATGTTGGAGCCCCCAGAGTACAAGTGAAACCTTTGGCTTCCGCCATTCAGCCGTCGAGTTCAGGGCCATTCTGGATGTGCGTCTGAACTGCGCGCGAGAGCGCGCGCTTCAGCGATGGGGATCGGGCGCGGCGCGCGCCGCGCATCGTGTCCTTGCCCCCAGGACGCGGGTGCAGTGATTGGTTTTCACCATTCAGTTCGCGAGATTCTCGCTGACGCTCCGCGTTCGTTACCGTGCCGCGCGCGCGACGGCGCGCGCGCACTTGGGGGGTCTTCGTAGTTGTTCGGGGGCGACCTCCAGATGTCGGGCGACCCGCGTCGCCGAGGGCGCCCGCCCGCGCGGGGGCGTTGCGCCCCCGCTATGGGCTGGTCGCCATGGTGGTTTGAGGGGGCAGCGGTCTCGCAGTCTCCCTGGGTGCGTGGCTGAAATGGGGACCGCGGTGAAGATTATTCTTGTTGGTGTCGTCGTCCATGCGGGTGGGTCGCGTGTGGGTTGCGGCGCGGGTGGGTTGTGGCGCGGGTGGGTCGCGGCGCAGGTCGGTCGCGGTTGAGTTTCGGCGAGGGTGGGTCGCGGCGCGGGTGGTGTGCGAGTGGGTCGCGGCGCAGGGGCCTTCTTGTCCCGGTTGCCCTCTTGGCCCCCCCGGGGGGCATTCGGGCCCCTTCGAGAAGGCGCCGGGCGGGGCTGGGGAAGGGGGACACGCCGCGTGCAGTTCTGCAGTGACCATGCATGAGTTGAGGGGCTGGGAAACAGGGGCGACGCAGCATGCATAGTGAAGTATTGCCCATGAGTGAGCTGCGGGGCTGGGACACATGGGCGGCGGGGGCGCCGCATGTAGTTCATCGTGGGCCATGCGTGAGCTGCGGGGCTAGAAACAAGGGGTGAGCTGAGGGGCCGGGAAACAAGGGGGCACACCATGTACAGTGAAGCATGAACCGTGCATGATTTGGGGCAAGGACACGGCCGGGCACAACATGTATGGTTCAGCATTAGCCATGCATGCGTAGCGGGGCGTGGGGGCAGGGGTGCGCGCACCATG